ACAGCGCGTGCGAAGGGTGGACCGCCTTGCCAGCGACCCATGGCTCAGCTCTCTCGGGGGGCGGATCGAGCCTCAGGCGGCGCCAGAGGGAGTCATCCCTGGCGGCCAGGGCCCGACCTGGCCTCACCCACTTTTTGACAGGGACCTCCTCCACCTCCACCGACTCCAGGCCCCCAACTCCACCACCTCCATATGCAGGGCAAGCAGAGCGGAGCCTCGCGCGGAGCGATGGGGCAGCGTCGGAAATCGAGGCCTTGCACCTGTCACACGTCCAGAAGCCAGACACAAACTCCCAAACGTGCGACGAACACCTAACATCGGCTTCGATCCACCGCCGCCTGCGGAGCACCAGATCGATGGGCTGCTTGCGCAGCCTGCGCTCAGGATCAGCCTTGAGGGCAGCACACTCAAGGGTGATAGAGGCATTGCGCTTGAGGATAGCACAGGCATTGGCAACAAGCTCGTTATAAGTCTTCGCAACTCCCACAGGCACCGGGCAGTCGAGAGCACGCAAGTTAGCGAGCTCGTCCGCGCCCGAGTTAAGCACAACATGGCCCCAGTCTACAGAATCGCCAAAACGGGCTAGCTTCTGGGCGTCGTCCAGCAAGTGGCTGGGAACATGAGAGACCTGGAATTGACCAGAGCGCTCCGAGAGGAGCTGCCAAAAGTCCCACCAGAGATCAAAATTTGCCAGCCTGGCAGAGGCCGCTCGGCCAGCCAGGAAGCCTTTGACTACATTGGCATGGTCGGTGACCACGCGCAGATCTCGGGCAGGACCAACGCAACGAAGGCACTCAACAATAGCCGCAAGCTCTGCGCGGGGTACCGTCTGCCGAACAGAGTCGAGTACACCTGTGACTCCGCAATCCCAGTCGAAGCCACCGCTAGGACAGAGCCGCACAAAGGCAAAAGCCACTCGACGGAGAACAGGAAACCTGGCAAACTGGCCACCAGTGCCGTCGGTGGCGTAAAGGCCTCCTGGCAGACAGCCTGGAGACAAGGCCCCAGGGCAACGCCGCCCCTGGAGCCCCCTGGATCCAGGAACAGGGGGAAGGTTAAACCAAGAAAGGGGAACGAGTCCTCGGATCCAGAAGCACGGAAACTGCACAACTTCTTGCAGCGCACTGCGCCTAAGATGCTGAGCGTCAACAACCTCCTGGTCCTGCGACGACGCATTGCACATGCATCCCCAAAACCTGTGGCAGGAAGACTCGGGGTCACGCTGGCAGCGCCGACATATAGGACCAGGAGCCATCTGGGCATTGTGCCTTCTCTCCTCGGTCCAGTAGCCTCCAGAGACCAAGAGCCGAATCATAGCCGCGAGGTCCCGATGCCCGTCCTTATCGAGGGAGGCAACAAGGTCCCAGACGTGATGCAGGGAGACAGAACCCTGGATCCCAGCGCCATCCAGCCACTCTGAGGCCTGGCACCACTGTAACGCGTCGATCGATTCATCAAAGGCCTCAAGGAGAGGGCCAAGAGGGCCATGCCCGTCACCCATCATCTGCCACTCATCACCGCAAGGCGCAATGAGAGTGAAAGGTGAGGGGCATTGCCATCCAACAGATAAAATCGTGGCTTGAAAAGCAGCCATCGGCCCTCGGACCCACGCCCACCCTTTTCGGACCTTGGCCAAAGAGGCCGCCCAATGTCGGGTCAAGCGATGGCGAAGACCAGGACGCCCCGCCAAGCGAGCAAACCACGACTTGACAACGCGACGGACGTAGACCTGGAGGGGGTCCTGGCCATAGCCGAAAGTGAGGCGGATGGCTGTAGTGGCACGCACTCCTCGCTGGGGGGTCTTGCTGGCCGCACGGGCCACGCTGCGAAGACCTCTGAGCATGGAGGGGGAGACGCCGTGGATCTCTGGAGCCCACATGGCCTTCGCATAAGCATTCTGATAAAACAACTTACAGGCCTGCCTGCAAGTGCGCCCAAAACCGAAAATCTTACTAGTGGCATCTCGCCCTTTGGAAAAGCGGGTCTTCCTGACGGCCACAGCCCTCCCGGCACCCAAGGCGGCGTCGTGCCCTAAGTCCCCGGCAGCCAGAGCCATCGAGAACTCGCAGCCCTCACGGACAGCGATCCTGGACAGCTCAGCCCGAAGGCCAGGCGAAGACGCCAGCAGATGGGACTTATCCAGGGACAACTGACAGCGACACCTCCTGAGGCCAGTGAGGAGGGCACGCAGCAGGATGGGGAAGGTGGCAGAGATGGAGGAATGCGCGCCAAAAAGGCGAGCTGAGATGTCATCCACCCACTCCCGCAGCCGCAGACCACCAACTGATCCATTGGCTCCTGTAAGAGGTTGGTACAGATGGGCACGAGCGAGGGAGGTGGCCTGGCCACAGCCAGCCAACATACCCCCATGAGCCAGGATCCCAGGGTGAAGAGCTCCCTCTAAAGACAAATGCCAAACCCCCAAGTACAGGTCAATGGCCAGGGCCAACAGACGGAGTGGGCAATCTAATTGGCAAGCGGCTTCCACCAAGTCCGGAAGACAGACTTGGTCATAGTACTTCTTCATGTCAAGCAAAAGGCCCCCGACTTGAAAACCGCTGTGGAGGGCGAGTTCCGTTTCAAGCTCGTCGAGCCAACCAGCAGCATCAGCCGAACCAACGGTCTGGTCCCAGGGCCCGTGCGAGTCACGGTCCCAGGCCGCGATGAATGGCTTCCTGATGCGCAAAAGGATAGTGTAAACAAAGCCGAGCAGCGCAATGGGCCGTTTCCCCCCGTCAGGCTTCGGGATAAGGGCGACCAGCGCAAACAGCTGCTGGAAAGGCAAAGTGCACTGCTCCTCAATGGACTCGAGTAGCTGTATTAGGTGGGTCTTGGCCTCTTCGCTAGCCTCCTTAATTCAAAGCGGCTCAATAAAATCCGAACCCTGACCCCTGGAGTCAGGCATCGACTTGAGCGCACGATCGAGGGAGTGAAGGTCGATGGGTGGCAAACGCGGGGACGACCGAGCACGCTCACGCAGGGCAGCCAACGCAACCCTCGCTTCAGCCTTATCGTGCTGTTGCCAAATGGCCGCCCAAGCGGCTGCTTCAAAATCTAAAAGCTGATCCAGGGCAGAGCAGGGTCCATCCTCACCGATCTTTCTGGCCGGCAGGGGGTCCACGGGGGGGCTCAAGCAAACGGTGGGCCGGCCCCGCAGACCTGAGGAGCGCGCCCTGGAGCCAAGCCTTCCACGAGGCCTTCTGAGCCTGAAGTTCGGATAACAAGTCATGCAGCCCATCAAAAGGTATATCGGGAATCTGCTGAAACCGAGCCCCCCACAAGTTAAAGGCGCCACGCTGGCCAGCATCAGAAGGATCCGACGGGGAGGGGGGCACCTGCTGAGAAAGCCAAGCCAGAGTGGCACGAAATTGAGCAGCATGTTTTCGGCGAAGCTGCGGCGGGATGTCATCAATGGAGTCCTGAGGGACGAGCTTGAGCAACAGCTTAAGCTTGACAATGGCGGCCTGCCAGAAACGGGCGTCACGATCAGCCTGGCAGGGCCCCTCAACCTGGGCGGCCATGAGGGGCACCCAACGTAACCTGGGCTCCTGGCAACGACCAATATACTGGAAAACCTGGTCCTGAGCCAAGCCAAGCTTGAAAAAAAACTTCAGCTCAAGAGCAACCATCCAAGTAGACAGCTGGGCCCCTAAATCGAGGGAGACCTGAATGTTGTCATGCTCAAGCTTAAGGAGACTGGCAGCAGCATAGTTGGCTGCGAAGAAGCCTGGCCGCTTACGTTGCAGCAGCTGAGCCCGCGCCAAGAAGTGCGGCCAGGCTTCCACAGGGGCAACAACGCCTTTGACAGGCAGAGGTTTAGGTCGCATGGCCTTCCAAACCTTGATGGCCCTGGGAGACGCCGAGACCAAAAACCCTAAAGCAGCATGCGCGCCCCAAGGCACCGGAATGAGCGACCTAAACTGGACGGCACTAGACAAGCAAGCGGAGACTAAAGCGTAATCGACCCGACTGGTGGTGACTCCAGAGCACGCAACCGAAACGCCAGGCATAGGCACAGGGACGAGGCCGAGGGGCTCCAGCCAACCTGACTCCTCGAGAACACTCTGGTCAACCTGCCAGTCACCCACCACGAGGGCGGGAACACCTGCCGCGCTCAGATGGGCGCCGAGGTCTGCCAGCAGCTCGAGGTTCTGGCCGTTGAGCTCACCCCCCGTGACCAGGTAGACAGGGGCGATGGTCAGGGAAACCTTCCGAAGCCTCAGAGTGCACAGTAGCCGCCGAGCCGTGCCAGCGGTAGTCCATTCACCCGCCTCACAAGTCAGCTGCGAGAGCCCAAGATGAGAGCGGGCAGCCACAAGGACACCTGACGATGCATCACCAGCAGGCGTGGGCTCAGCAGCCTGCGCCACAACTTTCCAGCCCAGCTCATGTAGCTTCTTGACCATCGCCTGGAACTTGGAGCCGCGCATCCTGTGCTCAACGAAAATGATGATATCCGCCGAGCACCCAGCAACCCACCTGCACGCAGCGGGGCCCCACACGCTGATGTTAGAATAGACAATGGATAAAGATCGCCGAGGGGCGGTGTCGCAGCCGCTGTCTGGATTGGGCCCAGAGCCAAGACCCTCATCATCGACTTGCAAAACTTGGTCGCCGTCCGACCCGCTGGGTTCACCACAAGTAGATTGCTCCAACCCCGCAGTCATAGCTGGCGCGGTCGGCCCCGCAACGAATGCACCTGGCGAATCAGGATTCCCACCAGCACATACAGGAGATCCACCAGTGGCGACGATGGCCTCGGTAGAAGCCGCACAGGCTCCAGCAGATGCCGCCACTAAAGAGGAACCCGCACAGCGAGCACATGTGGCGTCGTCTGCCGCGCCTCCAGCAAGACACGCGCCGCGGGATGCCGTGCTGAGGTCTTGGCTGAGCCAACCTGCAGCAGGCGCCGCCCGCGGGGCCATCGCCTTCGCAGGCACGGCGAGTGAGCGCCCAACGCACGAAATCGGAGAAGACAAGGAATCACCAGAAGAGGTCGCCACAAGCGGGGGCGAGGGTAAAGAGCCGCCAGCCGTCGAAGCGGACGGTGCCGAAGAGAAAGAAACAGAAGAGGCCGATCTTGAGATGGTACCAGAAGCCGAACTGCAGGTAGATGCGCTGTCACACCCATGACCACCTTTAGCAGAGCTAGGAGCTGGGCTCTCGAGCCTCAACCTTGGCCCGAGCCGCAGCCGCCTTGGCCCGTGCGATGGTGTCAGAGTGCGCCTTCGCGATCCCCTTCTCCTTGTCGGTCGGCTCGGCTGAGGTGGCAGCACCGATGGGCACAGCCTTCGCCTCCTCAGCCGCAGGCACCTGGGATGAAGCTGCACCCTGGCTAGCCGCAACTGGTGGAGCTGCAGCGCCAACTGGCCCATCCATAGTCTTGCGCTTCTTACGCAGCTCACCCATGCGCTTCTGGCACTCCTGCTGGTGCTCCTTGCATTGGGACTTAACGCTCTTGAGCGCCTCATGCAGGAGGGACTTGACCTGCTGCGACTGCTCAACCTTGAACTGTTCAAAGCCCTCGCGGTCCTCAGCCGAGAAAGCCGGCCCCGAGACGCCCAGCTCCTCCCCAAAATCGAGCTTGATCTCCTCAGCTGAGCCCTTGAAAAGGTCATCGAGGGAAATGACATTCTTGACGGGAGTAGGCTCAACATCCTTAAGCACACCGACGGCCGACGTACGAGTGGCTCGCTCAAGAGTATCAGCGTTCTCCATGTCCTTGGCCATGAGATCGTCCGGGAGCTTGTCGAGGTCACTGGCCTGGTTGTCGAGTACCGCACGGCGGGCCAGGGCCTTGTCGAGCTTCTCCTGGGAGGCCTTCTTGGCCTGCGAGGCTCGCTGCCACTCGGCCTGAGGCGTCGCCCGGGGCTGGGGCGGCGGCTCGGGCACGAACTGGGAGAGCAACTTCTGTGCCATTTCAGGCGCAAGGTGCGAGGCAGCTTCCTTGACAGCCGCAAGAGCTCGAGGAGGGATGGCTTCAGAGGTCCCATTCTGCTGCTGCAGCGCCTGCGCACCTTTGCGCCGGCGCCCCTTGGACTTGCCGCCACCATCACCCCATCCTGATTCATCGGCGCCTGCGTACGACAGCATCTGGCCGCCGACGCCAGAGGGGCTGGGAGGGTGACACTGGGACTGACATCCGACACAGAGGTTGCGCCGCTTGGCCAGGAGGTCATTCCACGTCCAATGGCCACAAGCGCACACAGTGTACAAGCGAGCACCACGCGTGTGCCCAGCCTTGGCACCCCCAGGCGGCACACGGACCCAGGGCTGCCTCGTCCAAGTGTCTTCCGCGTCGTCGGGGAAATGCCACGGGGCGGGGACCATCGCGGCGCCGTAGCAACTGGCTCCGTTAGGAGCACACGAGAACGGGCTGCCAGAAGCCCGTGCAGTACTGGCAAAAGCTGTCAGGCGCGAAGCCTTGGCACTGCCGCGGACTAGCGGTATCCACTTGTTCCGCTGAGGAACTCAAAACCTTGAGCCAAAATGGCTACGGAAGAGGAGGAGGAGGAGGAGGAGAACAGGATAATGATTTCGTCGCAGCCATTTTTGACTTCAAGTTTTTTTTAATCCGCCCAACCGAATTCGAGAATTCGTTAAATGGCTGCCTGGGATGTTCGCTGCGCCACGTGCGGCGCCCTCGGCCCCGCAGCCAACATGGACGTGATAAAAAAACGAAAGTTCTCGACCCTCCACCGCGACCCTTGCCAGGGAACCGTGGAGAGCCATGCAGGGCACGGCAGCATCTACCTGCAGGCTGCGTTCTCCTCCCGCCGCCGCTGGCCAGGCCAGCGCGGCCACTCAATGGCCCTGGCCTCGGCGCCCCCCGCCCGGAGGCGGCCCGCGGGGCCGCGAACCACGCGGGGCCCCGTGTCCGCGCGCGCCCGCCCGCGGTGGCCCCGCGGGCTGGCCCAGCAGCAGCAGCCCCCCCAGCAGCCGCCGCCGCCCGCCGCTTGCCCCCCGTCGGGCCCTTCTCGGGCCTCCAGAGGCTTCCTGAAGCCACCAAAGGCTTCCAGGGACTTCCAGGGACCTCCCACCGCGACCCCAGTCCGGAAGCAATGAAGAACCACGCAGGGCATGACAGCGCTGAGGGGAGCGCCGACATGCAAAGCCAACGCTTGGCAACGCAGCGCAGTGGTTACAGTGCAAAGTCTGCGCAGTGCAATACAAAGCCTGCACAGCGCAACACAAAACTCAAAGCAAGACAGGGCGACGCGGACCAACACAGAGCAAGGATATGCCGCGCAAGCTGACGGAACAGAGCCAGAGCAGCGCAGTGAAAGACGACGCAGCGCATCGACAGGCAACTTTGACGCACGTGCACATATATATATATATATATATATACAAATATACACATATACCTATACATATACATATACATATACATATACATATACATATACATATACATATACATATACATATACATATACATATACATAAACATTTTCATATACATATACATATACATATACATAAACATTTTCATACACATATACATATACATGTACATATACATATACATATACATATACATATACATGTACATATACATATACATGTACATGTACATGAACATGTACATATACATATACACACCTATATACGTAGTACCCAGCTGATGCGGATAAGAGTGAGGGGGCGGTGGGGACGTCGGCAGTTTGCGAAACTCTGGAGAAGCCCGCCGCAAGCGCCAACGTTACACACATTGTACAACGAGCCCGCCGCAGGCGCCGATTTTTCGTTAAACCTATATGGGTAGGTCGCGGGTGGGCCGCGAGTGGGCCGCGAGGTGGGTCGCGGGAAGGTCGTGGGTGGGTCGCGGGTGGGCTGTTGTTGGGTCGCGGGTGGGTCGCGGGTGTAAAGGGCTGAAATTCTCTTTTTGTAAAACATACGTTCTACCACCCTCCCCCTCCCCCGGACTGATCCACCCCCTGGGAACCGATGTGAAACACATGGGGTTCGGACCAAATGTCGAATCCATACTATCCCAGCCAGGCCAGTACCGCCCCCCCACGCCATCCCCTGCAAGCAACGAATATGCGCGCACCCGTTTATGGAAAGTCACAAATTTTCCAGAATCCCATACCAACCATGTGACGAAGTGTACATTCGCGCGTCGTCGCGCGCGCCTTGCGAAATCCGTCAACAACCTCCTTCTCTAAAGTGAGTCCTAACTCACGTGCCCCAATACACACACATATATATATATATATATATATATGTATATATATATATATATATAAATACATATATGTATATACGCATGTGTAAAAAAAACGTGCGCGCGCTTTTGCGGGCTTTTACACAAAAGCATGTGTGTCGTTGATTATGTAGTTGTATATATATATATATATATATAAATAAATAAATATATACAAATATGGCATACCACAAAAAGGAGAAACTACTACCAAACGGGCGTCGCGCGCGCGCATGTCGAAATCGTTCGAACGCCCTTGCGCCCGTGCCGTCGCGAGAAACCCTTGCAACAACTGTACAGAATTGCACACGCGCGCGTCGTCGCGCGCGCATGCCGGAATCCCTCAGAAACCGTCGGTCGCAGAAGGAATGCATCATCGAATGTCGAAAAAAAACATGCAAAAACAAAAGGTGTCGCAACACGGATGTTCAACAAAAAGGTGCGAGCTTGCGAATTCTTACAAAAACCATGCGTTGTCCGAACTGTCAGTAAAATGTTACCAAACGGGCTTCGCGCGCGCGTGTCGAAATCGTTCGCACGCCCCTGCGCGCGTGCCGTCGCGAGAATCCGTTACATAAAATGTGCCGAGTTGCACACGCGCGCGTCGTCGTCGCGCGCACATGCCAAAATCATTCAGAGACCTTTGGTTTCGGACGGGTTTCTAAACCGACTGCCCAAAAAACATACAAAACCAAACGTTTTCGCAACGCTGATGTTCAAAAAAAATGTGCACGCGCGCTCGTGCGAATTCGTGCGCGCGTTCTTGCGAAATTGTCATAAAATGCTACCAAGCGGGCTTCGCGCGCGCGCATGTCGAAATCGTCCGGACGCCCATGCACGCGCGCTGGAGTGGCACGATCCGTGTCAAACTATACCATGCCAGCCACTCTCGCGCGTCTGCCGCGCGCGCATTGCGAATTCCTTCCAAAACCTGCATCACCAACGCGAAGACGCCGTCATCGTCGCTGGCGTGATCGGCATCGGCGCCGTTATCGCCACTATCATCATCATCGTGTCTACATTTGTCGTCACCCGCATCGCCACTATCATCTCCATCGTGTCTACAACTGTCGGCGTTGCCGTGGTACCGCGCCCGCCCAAGCCGCCGACTCGCACTCATGTGCCCGCTGGGGTGTGCCGAGCGGTCAGCACCACAGCGGCCTCGTCGGTCGCGCCAAACTACCTGGCCGCTGCGCGCGCGCACGCGCGGGCTGGCGCGGCCGCAGCGATGCACCAGCCAGCGCCCAGCACTCATCGCAATCGCCGCCGCATGAGGTTTGCAAACCAAGTTGCGGGTGGGTGAGGGTGATGTTTGCGCGAGCGCTGGAGTGGACAACTCACTGCGAACAGAAGATAATTCACCCCCAAAAAATCACCCCGACAAGCGGAGCCATTTAGTAAACGCACACAAGGAATGGATCGAACGGGTCAGGGCTGTTTAGTCAACGCCCAGGGCCGTTTTAGTAAAAATGAGTTGTCGGGTCTGGGTGGCTATTCCTCCATTGAAGGTGGGTCGGTGGGTGAGTCGCGGGCGGGTCGGTGGGTGGGTCGCGGGTGGGTCGCGGGCGGGTCACGGGGTTAGGGTGGGTCGCGGGTGTGTCGCGAGTGGGTCGCTGGGTGTTTCGCGGGTGGGTCGCGAGTTGGGTCGCGGGTGGGTCGCAAGGTGGGTCGCGAGTTGGGTCGCGGGGTGGGTCGCGGGGTGGGTCACGGATGGGCCGCGGGTGGGACGACGACAACGAACAACAACAACAACAACAACAACAACAACAACAACAACAACCATTTTGAGGCTGTACGCTCTTACTTGCCCGCGAGTCATTCAACACGTATACCCTACACCCTCGAAACCCGCCCTCTTCGTCTTCGATCACACCCCTTTCGGGGGGATTATTTCTCTTTGCTGGGGCCGGCGGGCTTAGACGTACGGGCAAACCGGAACGGGCGGACAATCCTTCGGGGGCGTACATCTCTCTGCCCGCCATTGGAATTGGCGCGGGCCCTGCAAGAGGAGGAGGGGAAGAACGAGGGAGAGTGGGAGGAAGGGGAGGGGGAAGGACGAAGGAAGAGGGAAGATACCACGTTGTGAAGGCGTCCTTGGCGCGCGCGTGGTTCCTGAGCGCCGAAACGCAATTCCAGAATAATTTGTGAGGACGTCGCACGCGAGAGCGCAGTCCTGAATACATTGTGAGGAAATCTCGGGCGGGAGCGGGGGCCCTGACTAAGTTGCGAGGAAGTCTCAAGCGGGAGCGCCGTTCCTGAGCAAATTGCACGGAAGTCTCAGGCGGGAGCGGGGGTCCTCACTAAATTGCGAGGAAGTCTCAGGCGGGAGCGCCGTTCCTGAGTCAATTGCGCGGAAATGTCAAGCAGGAGCGGGGGTCCTGAGTAAAATTCGAAGAAGTCTCAGCGGGAGCGCCGTTCCCACGTAAATTGCACGGAAGTCTCAGGCGGGAGCGGGGGTCTTGATTACATTGCGAGGAAGTCTCAAACGGGAGCGCCTTTCCTGAGTAAATTGCGCGGAAGTCTCAGGCGGGAGCGGGGGTCCTGAGTAAAAATCAAGGAAGTCTCAGGCGGGAGCCGTTGTTGTCGTAGCCCAGGGGGCACGGGCACAGTTTGAGCAGGAAGACTTTCCTTGAGAAAAAACAAGGTGCGAACCCCGGGGGTGGCACTTCAATCGAAAAAAATCAATGTGCACCGGTGGGGGGGGATCAACAATAATTATTCGTCAAGAATGAGAATTCAACAACAACAAGCAGAGCTCACACCACGAATTCCATATTCAGCCACGCACCCAGGGACAATGAATGATGGTTCGGCCCCCCTCACTCTGATACAAGTGGCACGTGTGCCATGGCTCTTGCACAAAAAGGAAGGGGGAGGAGGACCTCCTCCCTCCACTTCCCCGGTCCCTCTCCTCCTCCTCCTCCCCCTCCTTCTCCTCCCCCTCCTTTTTCCTATTCTTCTTCCTCCTCCTTCTCCTCCCGTTTCCCTCCGCCCTCGTCCTCATCCGTCTGGCCTCCTCGTTCCCCCCTCCTTCATCCTCCCTCCTCCTTCTTCCCTTCCTCCCTCCTCCCTCCCTCGTCCCTCCTGTTCCTCCTGACTACAACGCATCGCCGAATTGTCG